AATTAGTTAATTTTTTGCTGTTCTATGGCTATTGCACTGATGTCTAAAAACCACTCATTGGATTTTAATGAAACTTTTAAAGAGTACCCATCACATTTCAATGAACCTAGGACTATACACCATATTAGTTTTTTGGTAAATATTTATGCTTGTTAATCACCTAATTAACATAATTAATTAATACTGATATCTCTAGTATTGATCATTTGAATAAAACTTGGTACATAAATGCTCTAGGACAATAGACAGCCTGATTAATTTTGGGTTAAAATCTGTTCATATTAATTCTCTAATTAGCATAATAATTAATATTTGTTTGGTTCTAATCACATTTCAATGAAACTTGGTACATTGTGGCAGACCTTATTAGTTTTACACTTAAATCTATTCATATTAGTTACCTTATTTGCATAATTAGTTTTCAGCTATTCCATCAATATCTCAAGTATAAGTAATTTTGAATTAATTTTTAATGTGCCTCCAATACTCTTCTCAGCACACGGGAGTTCTTTCTAAGCTTTCTTTGATTATGCTCTGTGAGAGCTATATTTCTACATTTCCAGAAGGGGGCGCTGTTTGTTACATGAAAGTAAACAGATCAAACCAGTATGATGTACACTGTCGCTGGGTCAGTGAACACCATTCTATTTGCATACCATTGTTGATATTCATTTTTCAGGTCGTGTTATAAAACCCAAGAAAGCTAAGAATATAGAAGTAGCTAAACTCAAAAAGGTAAGAGTCCATGTAAGGTCTGACCATTTCACCACCGGTTCCCTCATACGTAGTCTGCACTTTCCTTCAGAAGATTGGGACAAAAATAGCCACATTTTTGGAGTGAAAACTGGTTCCAAAATTAGGGTGCACTTCCAGAAATACAATATACGTGTAATAAAAAAGTGCAGAACAAATTTGGGCAAGAAAGTCTGGTGGTGAAAACATTAAAACTGATCAGTCTTGTAATGTACTGTAGTGGCATTGATTTTCACAGTTATTTAATTTTATTATTTTGATATTTAATCATATTCATTGGGTTTTAAATTTATAGAATTTTGACATTTCACATGGATTTAGTTTCGTGGATCGTGAATAATTAATGCATTTAAAGTATATGTATTATTATATCAATTTGTAGAAAACAAGCATGAATTCACCTTATTTGTTGGTTGCAGAAGGATTGTGGGTCATTCAATGTGATTAAAAATAATAACAATGCTATACTGTGCCATGTTTTGCAGATATATTATCTTCTGCATAGCACTGCGTTTTTTGATTTTCACCATGTCGTTTGATTTTCACCATGCCATTATTAATCACCACTATGATAAGGTACAATATCATATGGTACCCTCCATGTTGTATGTTGACGTCCTACACATAGTTGTCTAATGTTTATGGTTTCAGACACTCACTCTTTGAATGTCTAAACCTGTGTGAATTTTCTCAAATTTTTTTCAAAAATGTTGATCAAGATTAAAAAACTTGTACAAAATGTCAGAAAATATGTAATTTGTAAAATGATTTTGGAAAAAATACAGCATTAAACTGTGTAAGAGCTGGTACATTTACTAGTGAAAAAACATTCACACCCATTACTTGAAATGGTGGTCAGGTTCAAGAAGTCAAAGTTCAGAGTGCAGCTTTACAATATGTGAATTAGTTCTTTAAATGGTTTCAGATGCAAAGCACACCAATAGACTTGAGATGCAAATGGCCGATTAGATCTATTTGAAAGTGAGAGCCACAAGACATGTTTTTGCCCCTCAAATAAAGTTCCATTCTCTACTGTCATCACTGTTCTTAATACCATGGTTGCATGAATCAGGGGAACAGAGGATGCAAAAAAAAAGTCTCATGATATTACTGTAGGTTACCTAAACTCCATACACTCATGTCACTGACAGAGAATTGTAGACCATACTTTACTACTAAGCTAATATACATGCTATATTTCTTGCAGAATATTGAAAAGGCCATTGGTAGCAACATAGAAGCTGAAATAGGTGCCAGGGCCAGCTCAGCTGAGCCAAAATCCTTCAACATTGTGCACTCTTCCTCAAATGTGAAAAACAAAGAAGCCAAAAAACAGAAGTGATAAAGAAGATGATTCTATGTATTTGAAATGTACAACTATTATCAGTGCTCATTCAGTTTTTAGCACCTGATAGAAAAACATTATTGTTTTTTCATAGAGGTATATTATTTGTGTTATGATCAGTTACTATTTTTAAAATGATGCTGCTACATCTATTCAATATTATTGGTAAATTGGTCTCATTGCAATAATCCTTAATTACTAGTACCAGAATTATCATAAAATCAGGCGTTAAAATTTCCATCTAGGACCCATCATCCAACTGTTCCAGGACAAATGAAAAATAAAATTTACTAGTCCTGAATTAAAAGTCACTGATCCTGAAAATGTACTGAAAAGTACACTAGAATAAATTCGTAATTTTTATTTGTTATCCTTCGATAGGACTTCAGACTCGCAGGTAAAACGATTGTTGGGCAAATTTGTAATTGGCATTCCATAACGTCCATAATTATGTTGCTCATTGCCGAGTCTCTTGCTTTTTTAGTCCCCGTTCGGACGCAGTCCGAAAACGGGGACTTATGTTTTACCCTGTGTGCGTCCGTCCGTCCGTGCGTCCGTGCGTCCGTGATCACCTGTATCTCGAACATGCATGGACCGATTGAGTTCAAACTTCACTCATACATCACACATTATATGGGACATATGCACATGCATTTTTTTCATGATCCGATTAACGATAGCCGAATAGCGGCCATTTTAAGGCCGAAAATGCATCAAAATCGCACATTTTCACCATTCCGGACCCGGATCTCAGTTATGCATGGACGGATTTTGTTCAAATTTGGTACATACATTAAACATAATAGGACCTTGATGCACGTCATTTTTTTTTTGGATCGGGTTCGAAATGGCCGACTGGCGGCCATTTTGTTTTAAAGAATTCAGTTCTGGATCCGTATCTGAGACATGCTTGGATTGATCGAGTTCAAACTTCACACACACAAGGTACATCATGTCACAAATATGTATGTGCATTTGTTTCATGATCTCATTAACGATAGCCAAATGGCGGCCGCTTTAAGGCCGAAAATGCATTGAAATCGCACATTTT